GGAAAGGGTTTGAGGTGGATGACAATGTTGGTCGGGTTGAGGGATGTTTCCCTATCAGGGTTGTGTGATTTGGGGTGTAAGAAGATGAAACGAGGGTGGGCTCTCGTGAGATCTTCGGGTAGACTTGAGAGTATGGTGAGTGTGTGAGAGAGAGAGAGAGAGCGTTGTCGATGGAATATCTCGTGTTACTCGTCAAACGTTAAAAGGTGGTAGAGGGTAGGTGCGAAAGGAACGCTCGACCTGCGAGATTCCTCAGGTCGAGCTAGTAGAAAAGAAAGAATGTGGGTTGCCGTGTGGGCGACTGAGGTTGAATACGTATAAATCTGATATTGTCAGCTTACAAGTTCTTTGATGTTGTTCTCCCGCAGTCGTTGTTGAGGTTGTATTGTTATGTCGCGTTTGGCTGTCGACCAGTCAAGAGTAAGCTGAATGGAAGGAGTGGCGAGGAAAAGAACGCACGAGAGATAAGAGATTTAAGTAGACAGAGGGAGGGTTAGGGAGGGATATGACATGTGAAGAGAGAGGTGAGAGAGGGATGGAGAGATGGATGAGAGTTTGTTGGGCGCAGTGAAAAAGTGACACTCACTAGGTGTCGAGTTGATGTTGGATGGATGTTGTATGTACGCCGGGATGTGCCGAAAAGGAGAAACAAAGATCTGTTTTGCTTTCTTTTCCTTTTTCTTTGGGGTATTGATCGTAGCTCCAAAGGGACATGTCGGACAACAAAGGCGTTTCATTCCCCTGTAACGGCCATGCCGGCCGCCGTACCCGCCGTGAGAGCAGAGGGACCCCAATGATCTCAGCCATGCCAGCCAATGATTCAATGATCTCAATCACTCGATGGGGGAACTGACTATGAAACAACATCAAAGTGTGATCCCATCAACAGTCTCGAATCTTCCCCCGCGTCGTCATAGGGCGTCGAAAGATCGACTGAACCATGTAACATGAGTGAGAGTAGTGGTTCGAGGTGTTTGCTAAGAGCAGATTTGGTCTCGCCCAAAGAGTACTATACCATGGGATATGCATGGGTGCACGTCGCAAAGTGAGTTGCGTGAGATGAAGATTAGGGCGAAAGGAAGGATAGATGAGCTAGGGCCTCGGCGTAAGGGGGGGAAAGGGGGGAGAGATGCAAAGTTGCCCAAACGTGTCAAAGGGGAAATCCATCAAAATTTTGATCGCAACTTTGAAAAAGTGATCGACGATCGACGAGGAGTGAGTGACCGGGTTTGCTTTGCTTGTGGCGAGTTGGCGGCAACGAAAATCTTTCAAAACAGAGGGGGTCGATCCCGTTCTTTTCCCTTCTTTACACGGGGGCGTATGTATATCCCACGTCATCGGAACTACTACTGCATGCTTGCGATACTGCGGATGACAGAAGAACTTGACTTACCCTGGACTAGCTAGATTCTTGTGAATAGAAAGTTCTTCCCATGACGGGGTATCGCGGTATCGATTGCTGAGAAACATAGCAGTGATCTCCAAAGCCTGTGAAATATTGAACCATGCCGGAATACATTTGCAGAGCCGAGAAAAGAGCGCATGCTACCATACTACCACATCACCATTACACCATCTCGCAAGAGCAAAGAAGCTCAAACGGAGATTTGGATAGGAAAAAGGTACCATGTTCGTAGATCACCTTAGCACTGTTCCAGAACTTGACAACGCCTTCAAACAGGGCGTAAACTTTCCCAACAATACGAAGAAACGTAGATTAGATATGTACCAGTTTACGACCTTGTTGATCCACTGCAGTATGTAGCTATCAACTATAATCCTATAATCTCCGTCTTTTATGCCAAGGAATGGGATTCAACATCGACCAGTCGCCGATGGATCATCTTTGGATCGACCCGTCTTATTCCGACTTTGCTCCATTTTCATCTTCTCGTCCCGACTCGTCTCGCAAGGTCTGTAGAACTCACTCAAAAACGCCTGTAGAACGCATGACACACACCAGATCTTCCAGATCTTCTGGATCTACCGACACTATCTTTCATTCCCCACTCGCTACGTTGGGTCCAACGTAAGTATTCTCACTATCTTTCTCATGATTTGGTTCGATGACACATACAGTATCATGCGAACCATCGTTCGTCCAGGTACGGTACGATCTTCGTATGAACCTTCATCTCTTCCCTATCCCCGTCAAAGTTGATCTTCCTATACGTCTAGATTCCCACTCACCCCAGATTTTCAGACTTTCAGACCTTCAGATTCCCAGAGTTGCAGAGTCGGGATTTTCCAAACCCACTCGGCTTCTCAGATCCTCGTCAACAAGAAGATTATCAGATAAACTTTATCCTTGCCCTGTCGATCGTTCCCCAAGATCAGATCGTTCTTGTTACTTCGGACGTCAACCGGTTCCCCCACCTCTATCATCTCTCGTATCCCATTCCACCTCTAGGATCTAGGATGTCAGTGTTGATCCCGGGAAACTCGCACGCCATATCATGTCAGCAATTACTATCCCCGGTTTGAGCGGAGAGCCAAGAGAGTGAGACGGGCAGGGGATCATCTTGTGACTTTCAACGTTTAGTCTGGACTTGTAAGGATCCCACCAGTCACTAAACGGGGGAGGTGAAGGGGTAGACCGGAAGATCAAGGAACGTTCCACTGGCCTATCCCTTGCTAGTTTGCTTGAAGTTTGTCTCAGATTCCAGCAAACCAGCCCGTAGCCGCCCTTCTCTTCACCTTTCTACCACACTAGTACAAGGTACAAGGTACAAGGGAGGTCTCACTCTAAGATCCACCTGTAACGGCTTCGGGTCCCACACTAGCCTTCGGGGTGTGTGGATGAATTGTGGAAGATCGATATCGACATGTTTTTCACAGTCTAGTTCAGTCTAGTTTAGTTCGAATTCGCAACATCGTGGAGTAGACTATAAATCGAGGGGGAAGAAGGGGATGAGACAGAAGTTTGGCTAGTCCAGTGAGTAGCGTAGCCGAAGGATAGAGGCCGAAGCTGAAGCCGCAGCCGAAGCCGAAAGCCGAATGGTTGAAACGTTCAAGAGCCTAGGGCCGAAGATCGATAAAAAGTGAACGCGGGATAGTCCGAGCGTCCTAGCGTCTTGGGTTGATATCGGGATTTGTTCTCTCATAAGATCATGTGATCATGTGAGGTCACATGCTCTTCCAGACCATCGTGAGATCGTGTGCATCGTAACTCAGATTATATGTGAACTTTGTCATGAGCCTTAGGTGGCTTGGTCGATTGACTCGCGGACAGTTGTGAGAATCGAGTATCAAAGCTTGTCTAACTCGATGATTGATGACGTTCGGTGTTTGATACCATCGCGGTACTCTACTCAGATAACTCGTACATCTTCGCGCGTGAGTGTTAGCTTCAATCTGATTTCTTCAGTGATACCTGCTTGCAGCTGTTTGACAGTGTGGACGATGGTTTATTCCTCAGTTTTCTTTGTCGACCATCTTCACGTACTTATCTGATTTCATGTAAGTTACTAGTTGAGGAATGTTGTCTTCGGCCGAATAGAGCCTATCTCAGGCACAACTCGCAGATTAGACAACCCTTCTCCCCACCTCCATCTTGTGTCTTTCCATCTTTCCATCTTTCCATCTCCTCCCGCACCACGCAGCCGTAAGGGGGAAAGTCTAGGTACTGATTTAGCCCTGGGAAATCCTGACACCATGTCAGATTCTCAACGGGGTGCGCCTTCGTCCAGAAAAGCTTTAGTGGTGTGTTTCGTTTCTTCTAACTCACTCTGTTGCAACTTATTCCTCACAAAACTTCTATTGAACATCTATTTCTTCATTATGTCATGCTCCACAGTGGCTTACCTATATACCTATAACCTTACCTTATATATCTCTTCCTCTTCTTACCTCCCTCCACTTCCGATCCAGTCCTCCGGGCTCAATGTACTGTACAGCAAGAAAGCCCTTTCTCATGTTCAACTTTTCACGCGGCGCCAAAAGCTGACCCCAGTCTGGTGCTCTGGCAGGAGTATCAGTAGATCTCATGTTCTTCCCCCTCGATACTATAAAAACCCGCATACAATCCTCTGCGGGATTTTGGAAGTCGGGTGGGTTGGTAGGGGTTTATAGAGGTGTTGGAAGTGTTGGTCTGGGTTCTGCACCGGGAGGTTGGTCCATCTCTCTTCATCACATTCAAGCTTTATATCTCTTCATTTGAAATTTGTGGGATCTATAAGGGAGTTTCCAAAGCTAATACATAGCCGCGGCATTTTTTCTCACTTACGAGACTCTAAAACCTCGTTTACCGACTTTAATCGGTACGTTAGAAAAGAATGGGGGGTTGAACCATATGGTTTCTGCGTCCGGAGCAGAATTTGTGAGTCATTCTTTCTTTCTTCTTTCCTCTCTTGCACTCGTTAATACATCGTCTGTATCTCCGTTCTTGGGACCAAATTTGTCTTATGAATGATTCTTCATGGCTATGCCCTTACCATGAACCGGTCACCATCATCTACATTTGCCTGCTATCAATCTTCGGGTACTTCTTCAGTATCGGACGGGCCATGGAAGAGATATATAAGATGTACACACCACTGACTTAGATAGGTCTCATGTCTCATTCGTGTGCCTACGGAAATCGTCAAATCTCGTACCCAAACAGGAGCTTACGGGTCCGGAAAGGGAAAAGGAACGTGGAATTCTGCATTGAAGACTTGGCAATATGAAGGTCTTCGAGGGTTTTACAGAGGGTTCGGGATCACTATTGCCAGAGAGGTGAGTTGAAGCTCTTTTCTCATCGGCTCATTTTCAATACCCATTGGATAGATTGAAAGATATGACGACAAGGATTTAGGCGCGTGAAGGTCGCCTATGAAGGGAGCTGATATCAGATACCCTTCACGTCCATTCAGTTCCCCCTCTACGAGGCTCTCAAGAGCCAGTTGTCAAAACGGTATCTAGACGGTAGAAGACCAAGCTCGGGGGAAGCAGCTGGGTGTGGGATGATAGCGGGAGGTGTGGCGGCGGCTAGTACCACACCGTTAGATGTTGTCAAAACGAGGGTCATGTTGGAGGCTAGGGTGAGTGAGCTGGGTTGTCCTCATCATGAATATCACTTTCCTACAGTTTGACATTACCCGTTTATTCTCCCCACACGCTTCTCATAGTGATATGCCCTTTGAAAACTTAAGTCGTCTCCTCCATCCTGCCACTCGTTCGATCTATCATCATTTTCATAGTGCCCACTCGATAAGGTGTATGGGTAGGGAGGTCTGGAGTAGAGAGTCATTTGGTATCCGCCTTCGAGATGAACGAAAGACATGAAAGGGGCTCGACCTGACACCTCAGACTTCGACATCCCCTTTATCATCCACTATTCCATCTCATACCCCCTCCCCATCCATACTCTCCTTCCCTCCCCGTCTCCTGGCTATATTACGGACAGAAGGTCCAGCTGCGTTGTTCAGAGGCTGGGTACCGAGGACAGTGGCGATATCATGTGGCGGAGCTGTCTTTTTGGGTATATATGATTTCTGTGTGAGTCTTGATTTAGGCTAGGGCGGGAGGGATGGCGTGGTAGAATGCATTGCATAGCATCTTTGGTCTTGCCCTCGTGTATACCTCTCGTACACAAAACATATGTAGCAACATTTCCATGCCAGTCGCCTGTTTTGCGTGGTGAATTGTGCCCCAACTCTTTGCCACTGACTGGTGGCAAAGATTCGCTCTTCGCTCTGTCCTCTACTTCTCTATTGCTTTTGCATCTATTCTCCAAGCTTCTTGATAACATCGAAACGCACCAGTCCTGAAGTACGAATCTAGAGTACTCAAGATCTGAGTTACATCTTTGGTACAAATCACCTGCTCAAGTCTCATTCTTGGGCATCGTTCGTCATTGTCCCATCGGCCATCGGACCTATCTCGACGCTCGACATCTTTCGTGACCTGACAGAACGTTCACCAGTCTTAAGATCAACGTCGTTAATAGATAAATGATGACACAACCACCCTCAATACCTCTCCCAAGTTCCAAAGCATCCATTACACCTCCACAGATCTCCCTTCCATCCACCACCTCACCTTCCTCATCTCAGATACCGATGGAGGTACCAATTGAAACCTCACCCTCTTCTCTCCGAATACCGACGTATGAACCAACCAACACTCTCGCCCTTCTTTTACCTCATCAAGCACTCTTTGATCCACCCGTTTTATCCCTTTTGAAAGATTATTACTCCCAATATGGGTCGATAAGCCATTGGGCCCCTGTGAGAGGGTTCGGAAGGGTCATCGTTGTTTATGAAGATGAGAAAGGAGCGGAGAGAGCTAAGAAAGAAGGTGATTGGTTGAAGTTGGATATAAGTGATTTAGACGGTCTGGAAAGTGAGGATCTTATCGATTCGACTGGACCCCAAAACGAAATTCAATTGGGGGAAGACCAGAATGAGAGTGGAATACAGCAGGGTGGACGTGAGAGGTTAGAGGGGAATTTTGATAAGGTTGGAGAAGTGGTACCGGGAAAGGATGGATATTTCACTCCTAAACGTATTAAGAAACGAAAGAGATCAGAGTGAGTTTTTTTTAAGTTATCCACTTGCTTTCTTCTGAATATCTGATCATAATTCAATATTTTATACTCCATCACACCTCTACGGTACCGAACAGACTCTATCTCATTACAAACCGCCTTTCCTCCTCCTTCTTTCCCCGCTCTCTTCTCTTGGGGTCTATATCATTCATGATCATGTGTAAACACCAAACCAAATTCTTTCAACTCCCAACTCACTCAGACTTACTTCTTCCCTTGGAAGATAACGTCTCAACCTGAGGATTCCAAATTTTAAAAAATTAATTTATAGAATCATACTTCGTCTCTTCCGTTTACCTCCTACCCCACACCACGATCCATCAACCTCTCATCTAGCTCCACCACATCCAGAAAAAAACTTTTTAATCTCCCCACCTGGTTCTCCTCCAGAAGGTTGGGAACCGATCCAAGAAGAAGGTCCTAACGTTATCGCCTTGGCTGAAGATTTACAGAGAGCTTTGGAAGAATTACAATTGAAAAGTAGACGTAGAAAGGGAGATGAAGAAAAGGGTAAAGAAGTGATTTTGGATGAAGGTGGTGTAAAAGTTTTTTTGGAGGATTGTACAATGGTGAATGATGATAAATCTGAAAAAGGTCAGTGTGACCAAGATGAGTATAGTGAGGAAGTCATGGATGTACAGGATGATCGGAATGGGAATGAAAGAAATGGTAAGAAAAGGAGGAGGGGAATGGAGAAGGGGAATGGTATAATCAAGAAAGTATGGAGATCGATATTGATGATATAGACCATATGGATAGATCAGAGGGTCGTAAGGAGAAGGAAGTAAGTGGGGTGAAGCGAGAATCACCAGTACTGAGTGTACCTATTGGTTTAGGTGTTGGTGTATCGGGTGGATTTAATGGAGAAGGAGGTAAAACACCAGGAGGCAAGATTAAATTCATACCTACTCCTCGACCACCATGATGATCATTTTTTCAATCCAATGATACGCCCTTTTCATGATATACGACTTTAGACGACTTTATACGTTGATATGTATGCATTTTTATCTATACAATTTTCACCCGTTGATCCCCATTCGATGGATCTATGACCATCTTCTAATGCTACAATTTCACGAACTCGTGATGATCTAGATTCCCAACAGATAATCAAGTTCTCTCCTCAACGCGTCTAGTTGAAAGCACAAGTACGTACTGTACATATTCCCTCTGATACATATACCTCTAGTCACCAGTAAAATAAAAATGTCAAATAAAAACTAAGCCCCGGACAAACGATCTAGATGAGAGAGATACTGAACCAAACGGTTTGAATGATCACCGTCCCAAAGACCCACCGACACTCTCCAAAGTGAATTCACTAGCTACAGGTCCATCCAAAACTTCTAACTCTTCCCTCTTGAAACCCATACGAGGAACAAACCATACTCTGATAGGAACTAGCAACATGATAATCACAGGAAAACCTATAGCACCTTTAGTTTGAGTTATAGCGAAGGTAGCACCGAACGCGAGGAGTTCAACGAATGTGAAAAGGATTATACGGGATGGTCGGACTAGATGAAGTGGATCGTCAGAGGAAGTAGATCGACGATCTCGAATTAGGAAAAGAAGTTTGGAGGTGATTCCTGAGGATAATAAAGCGTCGGTACCCATGTACCACTATACGTCAGCATACTATTGTTTGGGTCGTGGACTAAGTTTTTGAGAGATGGGGGCGAGGGTTCAACAAACAGCCAGTGAGGAAAATGTCAAGGAAAAATCCCGATATATCGAGAAGACGACTCACAAACAAACCGGCCATGACACCTTTAGGTATCAACCCCAACACATGTTCAAATGGTGTTGTCATGAGTATCAAGCCTTTCATCAGCGTTCAATGACCTTCAAACGAGTCGGCAATCAAAGGTGGCATAAAGAGTGACACTCACATAAAGTTCCCTGAGCCAGATTTGAGACCCTCTGCTCAACAACACCCACGGGTACTTCCCGTAACTGTCTTCTATCCTCCTCTCTTCCTCCGATTGCTTGGAAAGTCTCGTTGCTTCCCGATGCACCGTTCGTGACACGCAATCGAATACCCGTCTCCATATTACCTATGTCGTTGATTCGAGCAGATTCGGTTTCAACTTTTTCCAGATCATTCCGTGTTTGTTGGGAGTGTTTTGGATGTTCAGCGGGCGTTGCAGAATCTGAAGGGCCAGAAGATGAAGACGGCTCGAAAGAGGAAGGAGCTTCGTAGCCTAGCACGACCAAAGAGGCCGTGTGTAATGGAGCTTGGGGAATGAGACCTAGTTGTCAGACGAAGTGTATTTGATAACATCTAAGACAGTGAGATGCAGACGTTTAGCAATGCAAAGGAGATGGTAGGTAATGTGACGTAGACGAGAAGGGACGAACCGTTAGGAGCGGGAATACCGAGTAAGCCAGCGATTAAGGTAGTCACACCTAAGAGGAAGAAATCCCAATGGAATCCTGGGGGCTTTTTCAATGGATATTCCGATCCTTGAGCAATGAGTGACTAAGAGGTCAGTGAATTATCGTTGCTTCTTCCAGTACGAGTACTCGTACATTGATCGGATGGTTAAGCCACGACCACAGAAGCTGTCAATAGCCAGACTGAGAGCTGCAGGATAGGAACGCTAGAGGGAAACAAAAGGGCACAGAAGAGGGAGGATCGAATATGAGAGGTAGCGAAGCACTCACAGATACATTAGCATCGAAATAAAATAAAATGAAAAGTACCAGACCAAAGGGGAATGCTATACCCACCCATTTCCCCTCCAACTGCCAGAAGCGAACGAGCCATGGTCGGCCTTTCACCGCTTGAAAAGACGGGGAGGTGGTGGGAAGTGTCATAGAAGGTTCTCGTACAAATCTGAGATCAGAACAGCCGATTTGAGGGACACAAATTCCATTCTGAGTGGGGTCATCAAGCGATTAGGGATAAACAGTTCGGGGTGGATGGACTGGAGAGCTCACCGATCAAATCTCCCCCAGTATGCCAGCCCTGTCACAGCAATAATGGTTATAGGCATTCCATAATCCGCACAAAACCTCCTCACCTGTTTATTCGTATACCCACTCCCAGCCACAGCGTTGAAATAATGTGGTAAGACCAATGTCATCACCGCCAACAAAACACCTAAGATCGAAGCTGTCACACTTGACTGAGAAAATTGTCGAGTAACAGTTTGGATACCATATTGCACGTAAACCGCCGATACGTAAAATCCGAATGTATCACAAGAGAACCGAGTGACGTATTTCAATCCCCGGACAGCACCGAGAAGAGCAGCAATCCAATGAAGGATAGCAGCCCATAGATAGACCCAACCGATGAAATGAAGATAGATAAAGTTAGGGTGATGGTGAAAGATATCATAGATGGTTTTGTTGAATACGGTTATAGGGCCTAAGGTCAGTTGAAAGGGAAGATTTAGGATAGTAAGGAAGAAAACTCACCAGTGACACCTGAGATGAGCAAAGGTTGTCCTCCTAGTACCGAAAAAACAAAAGCGGCCATAAAACTACTCAACAACACTTCTTGAACTCCGTATTCCCCAGTGGTCTCTATCAAGTCTAAACTGAATGCTAAGCCAGGTAAGATGTTAGCGAAGAAGATGAAAGCTGTGGAAGGGATGACACGATAATTCCATGCGTCTGTCCAGTCGGATAGGTAGTATGGGAGACGTGAGGAGATGTCTTTTCGAATACCGCTGCCGATGTTTGATATTGACCAAGGTGAAGTTGTCCGCGTTGGCCCCTGACGATGTGAGTTGGTGAGCTCAGCATCAGGGGCATATTCTCGATCTATCGAGCTATCTAGGCGATGGGAGTGGGTATAGATAGGATGGAGAGGGTCGGGGAGACTTGTTTGAGGGAGGTTAGAAGGGACGGGATGAAGAAGGGTCAGAGGCGGGTCAGGAGGGTTCGAAGCTCGCCTTGGTCTATGGGGGTATGGATGAGGGGAGGGGAAGGGGGGATCCGAGATTTGAGACATGACACGATTGTCGGTGCAGCATCCCCTGATTTTTCTGGATCTTTCGGGTTGAAGGGTATGTTGGTGATGATTTGCTCTGCAGAGTTGCAAATGTGGGTGGAGAGAGCGGAAGGAAAAGAAGGATTCCGGTGGTTCCGGCCGGTCAGGACTAAGTGAGGTAGGGTACATACAACATGGGTCGATGAGGTCTGTCTACATACAGTATGCAGGTGCTTGTGCAGGCAGCCTGACAGCTGACGGGCGGTCAGTATGATTCATGCATATGCCCTTTTCAATCGAAGGAAGACTGGGGGCCGGGGGAACGTCTATCAAGTAACTTAACTAAATTAATGGTTGTTCTGCCAGCCTAGGTCGTATTCTCTGAACTCATCTGGTGCGTGTAGGCATGAGGTCCATTCCCCATCGTCCTCCTGCAATCCTGCACCTGGCACCTCCAACCCGAGCCCCAACTCGCGGCCTCACAAAAGAATCTGACAAGTCCTACGACACCCGTTCGTTATCATCACCGAAGATGATGTTGCAAGGTAGCATGCGGTTCATCCTTTATCGTTGAGGGTCGCATTGGCGCCCGGGTGGCTTGATGTGTTCGTTATGCTGAAAGAGGTAAGGAAGTTTCGAGGAAACAGAGTCGTCTGCCTGATCTCGTCTTCTGATGTCATTGGAACCGTCAATCTAACGACGTATATGACAACGTTTCAGTGACTTGGACATTCAGCCGAAATGATTGGGGTCTCAAGTCCCGTCGGGGTTGGAGTCGCAGATGGGAAAGAGGAGGTAAGGAAGGGATATGGTACTCCTGTCGCGGATTTACAACTGTGAGTTGTCCTTCTGAGAAGCCTGCATGAAGCAATGAGGTTGAAGAGAAGTTTGCTCACATAAACTTATATATACTCATAGACCATTACTTTCTTCTAACAACTCGGTTCACCAGTGATCTTCTATTCCAAACCTACAGTGAGTTTTGTTTCTGCTTTACCTCAGGTGGTATTGCTGACATCTAGTTCGATAAGCAAGATGCAAGGTCCCATCAATGACACTTCCCTCACTGCCCGTCTGGGACATGTTCCTTATCCACCTGTCAAGATAACCAGTAAACCTCTCTCCCTCTCGGTTTGCCCGTCGGACTCCCTTCGCACCGCTGCCGAACAAACTCCCAACTTCCCTAGACTCTTTGTCACAGGCAACTCTATCTTCCAACTTCTCGAAAACATCCTTCCCAACTGTGAAAGAATTCTTACCGAAGACTCTCCCGCTAAAGTTCTCATCGACAGAGTTCTCGCTAAAGTCTCCACAGTCGCTGGTGATCCGACCACTGTCCGCAATTTGGGACACGTCGACCTCCCCGTTTGGCAATACAAGACCTATCTCAGTCCTGTCAATGAGATTCTGGAATCGAAAGACATACAGGCTGGGATGGATTTGGGGGATAAACCGGACGAGGTAAGAAAATGGGAAGTGACTCACTTTAATCATTTGACGGGTTGTTGGGCTTTAAAGAAGTCTCAGGCTGGAGGAAAGTTTTTACCCCTCGCTCTCATCTGGGTTCAGTCTAGTGCTTCCATCCCATCCTACATCTTCCCCAAGCTTTGGACCGCCGTTAACAGAGGTCTTATCACAATGGATAGCGCCGGTAAAGTAAATCTCGATAATCACAGAGCCGGTATCGAATACACTGATGCGGTGACAACGATAATCACACGAGCGATTGAACATATGTTCCGTCGTCTTGCAACTTTGCGAGTTCGAGTCGGCATTCTCACCACCTATGACCACTCTCTCATCTTCCACGTCAAAAACCATCATATCGAGATCAGTAGAATTCTTGACAGAGATGGCGCTTCGCCAAGTAACCCGTTGGGATCCATTATGCCCCTCTTCACTGCCATCTCCCTTCTCAAAGCCGACACTTATCGACACGACGCCGCTTGGAAAGTCACCATCCCTTGAGGGGCAAGTAGAAACTGGAAGAATGTGTGGAACAGGAGCGTGGAAGGACAGAAAGGAGAGAAGGATGAGCAACGACACGAGGCATTGTTAGACTGAACTGTAGAAAGTCAAAACATTTTGATTCAAAATAGGTGAGATGAACGCGATGCAGAATTTCCAAAGAAGTGACTTATCCGTATCGCACGATATCCTTCACTTTATCGATTTCAGCCTTTTTCTCCCTGTCCCATTCCTCCTCTGAGACTTCGGACCGCACCAAAGCACGATCAAAGTCAATTAATCGTATCGCTGATGGTTCTGACGCAGACTGGGGGCGACGACGAAGGTGCCGTGGGGAGACATCGCCATGAAGATAGCCAGCGGCGTGGAGCCGGTCGTATAAGGCGAAGATGGCAGCACTGCGAGTGAGTTTCTGGTCAGTCATTTTGGTCGATAAGCAGATTCGCTCGTCATTTTTTCTCGAGAGTGTAACTGGGTTGAACTCACGCATCTTCTTCGCTTGGACTTAGTTCAATCTCTTCTCCGGCATCTTCCATGACCATCATCCAGACCTGAAAATCCCTCTGTAAGCTGCCCCATAGTCCCACGATCCGGGGCACGATGGGAGGATCGAGCTTTCCAATCTCCACCAAAACGCGATACTCATTCTTGACCTTGGCGCGAACCTGATCTTGAGAGAGTCCTCCTCGGCGCCACTGATCATAGTCTTGCATTGGGTCTGTCTCTACTTCGAAGCACTCTATCGTGATGACCTTGCCGATGAGTGGGAAGGGAAAAGGGACGCTTTGAGGCGGACAGGTCAAGCGAAAAACATCCCAAACCGCTCCAACAGACAATATCTCTTCGAGATTCGCTGCTTGAGGCTGAAATACCAATGGTCGCTCATCGCCGCGTCTGCTAGGGGCATAACGTGATGCTTTCGGATGGAGGAGATTCTTCAAGCGAAAGCGGTCGGTTCTATTGTTGGGACGGAGCACGGGAAGAGAGTCGCCTTGCAGGATATCAGGTGGTACTGGACCATGTAGAAGTGCCGGCCACCGTCGGGCTCGTAAGAGAGAGTGGGAATACTCTTCTTCTCTGACCTTCTCGATGGTATACTCAGGTGATAAGCGAGTGTAGAGAGATGGCGAGCCAAGCTAAGTCTCAGCTATTAACCATCTGTCATACGTGACGTTAAGAAAATGACGCTCACTTGCTCCACTGAGGCTTCGTCTTGCACGGGTGAAGACGGATCATTGTACGATTCAAAACTTGATGGCGATCCCCTCACTGCCAATGCAGATGTGAATGATAGTATCCGAGTGGGTGCTTCGTCTCCAGTGTAGTTTCGATACGTCCCATACCACCATGGTGTTGTCGAAGGCGGCCGTGCCTTGACCGGTAACTCACAATTGGGGTAGCATGCCCAGTTGAGGTTCATCGGCTCCACGGCCTGACTGACAGCCGACCCTTGAAAGAGATGAGAAGGCGGAGTGAAGATGTCGGGATCACCGGAGCTAATCGCAAAATATAAAGGTTGCAGAGCTCGACATGGTGACGCAACGGACGTCCCATCTAGACGGATATTGTCGCTGACTTGAATGCCGCCGTTGTCGATGTATAATACTAGAGTACACTCGTGTGAGGTGAGAAGAGCAAGACGAACTCGATTATGTAACATCTGACACCACATCTGCGTTATCAGCTGCAGCTCAAACGAATATGGGCAGACTAATTCATAACGTCTACAGTACTATGTATGGCAGCGAATACGAGAGAGAATCGACAGATAATGAGCGAGGCCAGACAGCCCCGAAAATTAAGACAGGGAATCCACAACGAAAGTCGGAAGCCGCAGATGGGACAGCCGGATCGTACGGATTACACGGGCTGAATTCCTCGATACGAGGTGAAGTGACCAACTTACATGAGTTAACAGACGTTGGACGTTATCCACATTCTTGACACCCAAAGCCTTACGGAACACCCTCCTGGTGATGACTGCTTGTCCATTCTCATCAACCTTCACTCGGCCTGAACGAACGGCTCGAACAATAGCTTTGAAGACCCCAGTAGGGACCGTCTTCTCGGAACGAATCTCGATGATGGCCCTTTTCACCGCTGCATCCGAATATGGGTCGTCTTCAAGGACAAGTCTTGAGTACTCGTTGGAAACAAATCTTTGCAACACGGTCCTCCATCTGCGTGCTTTTATCCTCGAATTCATCGTCTTGACGACGTCGCTGCAGTCGGGAGAGCATGACAATTGCCCAAATAGTTCTACATATATCTCCCCCAAGAGAGTACCCACGTGTTGATCGCCCCAAAGATGAGTGCCCTCACTACGCGCTGCTCTCGATGAAATCGTTGACAGTTGATATGAAACTTCGGAAAGAGCTTTTGGCGCCCGCTCGAGCATCTGACAAACTCGTCTTAAACTCTGAGGGAGTATATGATCGATGAAGTTGTTGGAATGAACGAAAGTACGAGGGAATCGTGGATTGGCCTGAATCAAACTGCCGGAAGTTTCGACATCTATCCATAGACATTGATTGGTGATATCATCGATCTTGAAATGTGGATCTCGAAAGTTGACGAGTTGTTCTATGATAGAGGGAAATTGACTTGTTGATTCGGTTGGGACGGAAATGGTGGCATTTCCTGTGATACTGTTGTCCGCATCGGGTTTTGACTGAGCGGTCATGTTGGGAAAGAAGGTAAGGTTCAATTGATTGATGATGGCAAAGAGATGAGAGCGAAGAAGAGGGTCGAGTTGACTCCATATCGACGAAAGCGGTATTGATGACGGAAGCGAGGCTCGCTCGTCGTCATCCCGGCAGGCCCAGCAGCCAGCAGTCGTCTACAGTAGTGACATGGGGAAAGATCCGTCCTCGTTGTTGGGGATTACATGGGGCAAGATCTGGGATATGGCGGGTAGGGGCGTTGATGGAAAAGGGAAGCACATGAAGTCATCTGATCCGAGACGAGGTTATCTAGACGGACCCCTTTTTACCCCCAAACACTGTTATCTAGGATGTCAGGTTTATATACTTGGTGTTCAAGTCATTGAGTTTGAAAGACAGACGAAAAGTCGTTTGCTTCACGATTTTCACCTTTCGTACCTTTTCGACATCTTCCACGTGTTATGTATTCAACACATGACCATATTCATGATGGCATCTTGTACCCAAAAGGGCAATACATGACCCAGGTGGATCGATGATGGACGGGTGTGTATATATATACCTAGGTCCGACTTGACTATGTATATAAAGACGAGGAGACGAAGAGGAATGTCATGCATGCTAGAGTCATCATGTACAGGCCAATACTCTGTTCTACTACTACTTACTCCCCCAACGGGCGAGAGACTTGACACTAAGATGCTATCGATGAGGTAGGGGACAGATACACTTGTGAAAGCAGGCTCTCTACCGCTTCCTTCTCCTTCTCAAGTTCTCTCTCCCATTCCTCTTCCGACAGCTCACCATGCAGCCTCCCCCTATCAAAATCAATCAACCGGAACGCGGTTGGATCCGACGATCTTTTCGGTCGGCAAATGTGTCGATTTTGTACATCACCATGAAGGAATCCAGATTGGTGTATACGTCTATATAACGACCGTATAGCATCCCTGGCATCAGCAAGTGTTTCAATGTGTTCTTTGAAGAGTATAGTAGAAATGATGGGAGCTCACTTATCCGCCTCACTGAGTTGTTGGATACCTCGTTGTGATAACCCCTCTCCGGCATCTTCCATAATCATCACCCATACTTCTTGACCTCTTTGTGTCCCACCCCATAAACCCAAAACCCGGGGGATGACAGGTGGTGTGAGATTGTTCAATTGAGTATATACACCCAACTCGCTTTTGACACTTTGTCTCATTTGACGTTGGCTGGTACCGCCACGTACGAAGTCTGAAAATCGAGGAGCGAAGTGAGGTCTTGGTGTGACTTCAAACGCTTCGGGAGCGACGATCTTGGCTACCATCGGAAAAGGCAATGGTGGTTGGTCCGGGGGAGATGTGATACGAAAAACATCCCACATAGCTCCCCACGATAAAGGTTCTCCTAAAACGATGCTTTGAGGTATGAAGACACATGAAGGGGAGGCAGAAGTATGATTCAGGGGTGATTGTTCGGTGACACCTATTGTAGAGGGTGATCGGGCCGAGTCTCGAAGGGTAGGAAATGGACACGATTTGTTGATCGATATCTCAGGAGAGATAAGGATGGGGAGGTCAGCAGTGAGAAGGTGATATGACACAGGCCCATGTAATAAATTTGGCCATCGCCTAGCTCGTAACAAAGAATGTCCCACATCGGGTCTCCTAACTCGCTCGAAGTTGTATTCTTTCGGTATATGAACATACAGAGAGGGAGGTCCCAGCTAGCCATTAATTTCATTGATCACAATTGTCAATAGAAATACTCACTTCTTTGACCGTCACGTTCTCCCCGATAGTACAAGCTTTTGAGGTCATGCTTTCTCCCCACCGGCCCAGCTCGCCCATAGTCGATAATTTGTCAAACCGGAGGTCTCGTGTGGGGTCCAACGTATCTGTCTGAATTCGATAGTCTCCTATCCACCAACGACCTCCTTCCAATTCCGTATGCCTTATGTGAATTTTTGATGGGTAACAACACCAGCATTTTGGTATCGACTCACGAAGTTCAACTCCACCTCCCAGGTAGCCAGTCGGAAGGTCGAGGTCACCTTCACTGACAAAAAGAATCCCTATGAGTAAGGCAATTAGAGACTTACACGGATTTTCCATGGTACCGTCATTTGTTTTGTACAAGTCACTGACTTGTATACAGTAGTCGTCAACGTAGAACACGAGAGTGCAATTGAGCGAAGTTACCACCACTAGTCGGACCTTTATATGGATAAATCGTGACCAAACCTACAAAGCCAGTAAGCTTATCATCCTACCATACCCAGATCTCAAGAGATAGGGTCAATTTGAAAAGAATGGTCGTCTGCCGGAGTGAAGCGAGGTTGAGATGTGGGAACGGTACAGTTGTCAGATTACGGAAGATGACTCACATATGTCAAAAGACGTTCCACCTGTGCTATCACTTTTCTCCCAATGTTCTTACGTGTCTTCTTCCTAGTGACAATCGCCCTCCCCTCATGGTCAATTCTGACTGAACCAACTTTCACAGCCTTGACTATACCCTGGAAAACCCAGATCGGTGCCGTCATTTCCGAACGTATGTCCACCACGGCCCTTGTCAAGTTCACCTTTGATCCCGATTCATCACTGAGAAACAAGCTGTGATACACATTGGAAACAAAGCGTTCTTCACATTCAATCCATTGGCGGAGCGGTCCAATGGAGAACTCTTGAGCCAAACCTCTTCCGAAGATCATTCGACATGGATGGATATTGAGGTATTCGTGAATGAGATCAATAATGAATTGTTATACGACATGAACCCTGAGTCAGTCCGGACGGGGGTCCTAGGTCCCGTCCGGGTATCATGTCGATAACCGAATGCAGCGAAATTGTGACTCATGCGGCCACCGATCGCGACTTCATCGCTTGCTACTTCGTGTTCGCTATAGACTGCATACACATCCTACTGACCTTTACTACTCAATGTTACTAGATCCTACGTTCTTACCTGCACGTTTACGTTTGCGAGGAGTATCGTTCGCGGTAGCGTCTTCGGGAGCCATATCAGGCGAGTAGGTTGCAATCAAAGTAGACAAACGTTCACGGATACCTTGTACTTGTGACAACAAACCGATTTCAGGCAAAGTATAGTTATGTTTTACTACCTTGTTAGCTCTAACTAAATAAAAGATAATTAAGTACTCACCAGCCAATTCTACCTGTTGTTCGAGGCCCTTTACAATTCCAAGTTCTTCTCTCAAACTCGTGAACAAAGTACGATCATCTAAGTCTTCTTCTGCCTTTTTCACAAACTCACACCGATTGCTTGTCCCCATAGCGATACATTCGGCGCAAGCGCCTGTTGGGATCTGTCCAAGGGTAATACACCCAAAAGCACACGTATTACTGTGGTCATTACGTCCTTTACACTGATTACACTGGTATTCATTGATTCTGAGCCAACTGTTGTTCGAAACTACACGATTGTATGCTTCACGATATGATTTAAGCTAACTCTGTTAAAAACAACACTATTAAGAGAAAAAGACTAACTTTCGAAGATTCACCAGCAATAGGAGCCAGTTTCGCTCCCTTACGTGCCGCAGGAACTTTCTCAATCGAAGAATTCACTGCTTCGGGCCAATACCGCAAATTGAAGGAAGCACCAGACGCCCAAGAGTACTGAGAGTTGGATCCTGCATTTACTCAACCTTTTGCTAACGAAAATGATCAAACTAACCAGAAATTGTAGGAGCCACTTGTAAGCCAACAGAACGAACCAAATCTGCTCCAACGCCAGACCCCGAGGCATTTCCAAGAGGCACAGAACCAGGTCGGGCACCACGACGTGAGCCTTGAAGCATAGATTGTTGATTTGGTGTAAAAGGATTCGCTGAATTAGACATCTTAATCAATATTCAAAATTTAACAATGTAACGGCTAACAAACTTGCAAGATGTGGGGAAGAACTGTAAGAGGTACCCTTGTATATGTGACAGCGAAAAAAATTCATCTTGCTAAGAGCCTCACAACGAAAGGACGTCTACCCTTGACAACAGACGTCTACCCTTGACAACAGCTCAATAATTCACGTTTCATACTGAGACAGTGACCAATCAGCAGAAATTACTCACCCGAACTGATGGGAACTGGTAATAACGTACTCTGTCTCACACTGTTTCAATTACGCACAAGCCAACAATATCGTACATGGTTATGAAACCGAGAAACTGATTCCTGCAGGTTGTTGCTAAGGAAAATCTTTAAACCCTCCTTTGGGTGTCTTACTACGCCTGTCTTTCATACCTCTAATATACGAAAAAAGTTGGCAATAGTTGGCAATAGTTGGCAACAATTGGCAGAAGTTAGCAAGAATCAACGGAAAGTAGGGCAATGATACATACATATGACAACAATTAAATAGAAAGTCTATCTATTGAAGATGCTTTGTTCAACCAGTTCTGTAAAGCATCTAGTGACGGGTTTTGTAAACTTTGTCTATGTTTATCCCATAACTGGGCTGCTTCCTTTCCATTGACTTCTCGGGCACTTGCTAAGTCTTTAACTGCACCGATAATGTTCATACGCCTTCGATAAAATCGTTTCTCCGTTTCACTGGCTTGCTTTAGACCATCAGAGCTGCTTTCGTACTGACTTTGTATGGAAGGTCGACCATTAATACCTAATGTATACTCTTGCCATAATTCTTGAACAGTGCAGACGGTACGATTCATTGTGAATGGAGTAAGAATGGTTGTCTGCAAAGGGTCTTGCAGATACGGCAAAGAAACATCGCTGGTTGTTTGGAGTGTAACGGATGAAGAGGAAGACGATGCGATTGGTATAGCTTCAAAGCCGGAAGATGTAGACGGGACCAAGTGATTGTCACTGATGTTTAACGGTTGAGAGCTTCCACTAGAAATTTCAGCTAGTAGAGCTTGTAAAGGGCCAGGAATGATCAGAGGTCGGTTTAAAGCCGTTTGTATTAACATGACCCCATCGGATACCGCCTTCATCTGCTCTCGTTGCTCCATTTGTCCTTGACTGAGTTGAAGAACGTTTCCAAGGATGTCTTGAAACGATTGTTGCTGAGCTCGTGTTTGAGTTTGTAAAAGATCGTGCAAAATGGGAAGAGCTTGAGCAATTCGATCATCATACTGCTTTTCATTCGTGATGGTACGAGTCAACGCATGTCCTTCATAACGTAGGTATTCTTCGTCGGCAAACAGAGGATGATTAAAAATGTATAGCGATGGATATGCTTTTCGTAAATGAGGAACATCTTGTAGAAATACTTCTCGTAAAGACATTATAGTCTGCAGAAACATACGACCTGTAAGCTCTTCATGCGAACGACCGGCAGCGTTCATCAAAGACAGCCTGAAAGTGTTAGTCTTTTAAATTACTAAAAGATCATTAAAGAAACATACCATTTCTCAGCTTCTGGAAAGATTTTCTTCAGTAGGGTAGAAGGAGGTGTAACTGCCCGCGGTAGGAAGAAACCATTCCCTTCAATAGGAAAACCTGCATGAGCTCGTAACGTTCGTCGAGGAACATGCGTAAGATAGTGTATTTCTAAGACCGAATGAGCCCAATGTCCTGCTCGAGCAATTTCATCTGGGGAGGCGCCACCCTGTTCCGCTAATCTAGCACCCATTCGCCTATTGACATGTGTTTTCTGATAAGTATGAACATTTGCGGCTTGTAAGGCTCCATTTATCGCTCGTCGCTGTGTGTCGTATGAGATCTCCTTGGATCTGTCTCTAGCATCGCTTAAAAGTGGAATATCGTACCAATCTGCTCGTGTTGACATATCTGAAAAGCCACTTGGAGACGGCCCACAATATAAACTGGTGGTTAGTAAAGCAAACATCTTATACCGTGATTTAAACGCACCGAGCAAACAAATACAACGCCAGCAGAAATACAGGACATATTTGAGGATTCTTGTTGCGCATGAAAGCTGCATACTGAGGCTTTCCAGAAGCGTTTGTCTTAGATGAATGTAATACCATAATAATAAAAAGACAGGGGGAGGGGCCTTCATTTGTTGCTATCTCGGAAGACAAGTCGGATAACAAAAGCCTGCGTTGATTATCGCCACGGAGCATACCAAAGATCCCAGTAGCTTGCGCAAGAGCGTCTCTCAGTCCCTCTTCGTTATTTCTTTCCATGTAATGTGCAAATGATTGTTCTAATTGTCCTACGTTATCATATCCGTCGTAATAAAGTTCTGTCTGTTAAATCAAAACAATAAACGTACACTCACGTTTTCCTTTGTCCTCGTGAAGTAATTTCTTTCTACGCTCATTAAATTTTTGTAATACCGAAATAATTGTAGCTGTATGCACGCTTCTAGGCGAGCTCCAGCTATTGATACCCCTTTCTACCTGTTGCTCCCAAAGATTGACTAAAGCAGCTACCCATGCGTGTACCGTCGCCCCGGTGACTTGACATTCGAGAATGATGGATAGACCTTGTATAGTTAGCACTGATTTAGACAACAAATGATAATAAATACCAGATTTAGGCCCACTATGTTCTCTTGAAGACGGACCAGCGGTAGACAGCAGGAGTTGATCAAGATCAACTTGTGCCTCATTGAGAATGAGTTGATCTTCATCCGTTGCCCACTCTATGGTCTCATCGCCAGACGTCGTGTCTATTGCCTCGAGGTCGTCATCTTCAAGTGGTAACTCATTTTCACCTGTAGAATCGACCACTTTTGACTGTTTATGTGTTTTAGACACAAGAACCACTTCATATAGAAATAAAAGGGCCAATTGCGGGGTAACTGTTGCTCTAATCATCAGCACATGGCTTTTGATGGGCCTCATGTGCCGTTCCTTTGGACATCAAGCTTGAGCGTGCTGTACCTTGACAACGACGGCTGTAATTGGCAAAAGTTGGCAGAAGTTGGCAGAAGTTGGCAGAAGTTGGCAGGACTAAATCTTTGACTTACTCAGTTAGCCAAGGCTTGCTCGCAACCCATTTGAACCACTTTTTTTGACGGCTTTTGTACTGTTTAATCGTATTTTCCTTGTGTTTATACTGTTGCAGTGACACGGTCTCATCAACAGCGTTCCTTGCTTGAGGAGCAACATAAGGAACGTTCCTTAGTGTGTTAGGGTTCTGTTTGGGATGACGAGGCATATTGATTGTTACAAAAGACTTGATAAAACAACAAGAACAACGGTGAGTGGTAAGATGATGACAATAGTTAAGATGCAAAACTTTTGGCAATGATATGACTACTAATCCATTAGGAAACCCATGTCGTATAACTGAAGTATAATTGGCTGTGTTTACATGTATAACTGCAGTTATACGACATAGCCTTGCTAATGGCATTAGGAATTGCAAGGGGATGCATTAGGATTCAATCTCTGAGGTGCGGGACAGTTGCCCAAAGTGGCAGTTTTGGCCGGACGGAGTGGCAAATTTTGGCTGATGCGTCCGTCCGCGTCCGGACGGGACCCCCAGATAATGCGGGACTCCAGATGTATGCCCATACGCAGGACCTTTTCGGAGAAGCAGTATGTGCCGTTGTTGAAACGACCGCTCCATTGCCGTCTACCTCTCACGGTCATATTCTCTTCCAAACTCTGACATACTTGACGCAGTCGAGGAGTTACAATGTCATCACAGAAGTGGTTGGATGACGTGAATACGCGAGGGAAATTAGGGTTGATCGTTATCAAGCTACCAGACGTCTGGATATCGCACCATGGTCGCGTATCGCCATCTGATGAATCGAACGTATACGTACAAGCTTGAAGTTCGACCAAAAGCTGGAGTATGGGTAAGTATGGGAAGAGGTAGGTCGCTTTCTTCCCACAATCAAGCTCCGCCAACATATCGTCGATATCTGCATCCATGAAGGTGAGAGGAGCAGGAGAGGCAGCGTCACGGATAAGAGGGTTCTGAGTCTGATCCGACATGACAAATAGGACATGGAGCTAGAGAGGAATGTTTACCGAACCAACGACAGTGACGGATAGATTATGGTCAAATAGGTACTCGTCGGATCAGGAGAAAAAGGGGATATCTACCTCACATCCTTGAAGCCGATGAACCTGATCATAAACTCCGAGATCGAAATGAACTAGGCCGCCTGTCTAAATGCAAAGGCAAGAATAACGACCAGAAAGAGGAGGGGGGTGAGGGAGAGGGGCGTAAGTTAGGTCTTCCACTGGCCAATGGCCATGCCTACTTCGCTGTATGCATTCAGCCTGATGGAACACTCGTTGGGCGACACGGAATCTGTCCAAGGTCTCCTTTCGGCTCCGAGATTCTCTCAACCACAGCCGAAAGAGACGACCGTTGTTGGGATGGTAGCTCCTGATTCACGACCGACTCTCGATCATCTGTCTCAAGTGTACCTGTCTGTCGCCCAATCCAAGCTTCCAGGTGGCCGACGCCGTGCAGTCTCCTCGGCGAAATCTCATACATGAGGTAAACCGTGTTCTGGACCGGAACGTTAGAGGAAGGGTTGGAGTAGCCTGTGATCTGAGCAATGAAATCAGTGTCGTTTATGATATGATTGGGCATGAATCTCCCTGAAAAATGTTCAAATTGATTGTCTACTTCAATGCTGCCGGCATGAAACCTGTTTGCTCACTCATCAACGGTACTTCACGTATATGCACTCATACAACCCAAAGAAGGAGCGAAGAGATCTAATCCACTAGCATCTGTCCACCCACTTGATTTCCTGTTCACCGTCTGTTTTTCTGACTTGTACTGGACACAGGGAGTTGAGTTCACAAGTCTACTGACTTGTCGGCCTTCTTACCGCAACCACAAAGCGAACATTGACGACCGCTCTGGTCAGGCTAGATAAATCGGAGTTCCGGACGGATCAAGTGAATTTCCCCTTTAGTCAGTCACACCATCGAGGCCTGGACCCCGGAGAATCCATCTCCGATCACGATCATCGCGTGGGGAAAGGGTGAACCTTCCGGCCGCCCCACTGAATCACCGCCTTTCTTCTTCCACACCACCCCCTTCCTCTTTTTGCCTCTATAGTTCACTGGATCACTCTTCTCACTTCAATTTCTCATCTCTAAGCCTTGAAGATTCAGTATCTACCACTTGAACAGAAGTAGGACTCACATCATCAGGATAGGATGGGTAAAAGATCTAAGAAAGCAAAAGTTCCAACAGAACATGACACATCAAACATGAGCTTTGTAGAGAAACTACTAACAAAAGCTAATTGTGCAGTACTTGACAAACAGAAAGAGGACCTGAACACAATCCGAAGCGAAGCAGATGTCATTCCCATCTTGCTGATAACAGCTTTGCGTCCTACTTTGCCTAACTACTCCAATGAACAACCAACAATCTGCGTGAGTATGGACAGCTTTGCCACCACCCTGCAAACACAAATATCTCCCACTACCACAAGGGATAAGTCCTCCCATTATATAACCAATACCAATGATACTGTGAAGACCTTTTTGGAGACGTTTTTATGCGATGCTTTCCTTTTGAACCCCTCTGACTCCGCCCTGACACTCACTGATTGGACAGATCAAGTGAGGGCTTCTGCCCAGAAATCTAACAAGTTTAGTAGGAAGACACACATAGTCATACTGGTTGCTAGTGAGGACACAAACTTGCATACACTGAAAGACTTGTATGACAGAAATCTGCAGATTGATGACGAGACAACTGTCATTGATGTGAGCCCAGAAGTGGACCCTGTCAAGACTAACGAAATTGGGATGCGGCTTGGAGAATGGGTAAAATCCTGTGCAACCAAGATCCTCAACACCTATGTGCAGAAAAATAAGGGACAAACACCCAACTATGAATTCACAAGCTCTTGGGCCTATAGTGAGTCTCAATGTTGGTTTACTCTGGCAGGCTTGATTCGGGATGAGTTGAGAGGAGACTCATCAGTTGTTACGGGGTAACAACGATTCGAGACAACTCCATCAAATTCAACAGATTAGGATAGAGTAAAGCGGGATTTGGAGGCAGTGCTGCTTTAGGTAGGGACGGGTTTTCCCTTTTTGAGATTTTCCCACTGGGTTTGCTGAAAAGTGGTTTTTCACCTGTCCAAGTATGTACGTAGACGCTTGCAGCAGGGAGAGGACAAAGACAAGGATACCTGTAAACAGTATATAGTACAATCAGCAAAGTACCAACTTTGCTGATTCTTCAATATCATTCTTTGGCTACATCGATTGCAGAGGAGACACGATCCACCACATAGCAGCAGAATCACATAGACTTCCACGAGACTTCCATTGAGTTCAACTCAACCTGCAACTTAGTTGTCGTGCATCCAGTACCGTTACAAGTTGAAGAATCAGCTGTACGCACCCTGGGTCGACTTGGAAGGGATTGCATGCTTACCAGAGGAAAATCACGCAACATGGTACCAAAAGATGATCTTTTGGAGGAAGGGCTGGTCCCAGAAGCGGGAATACAAACGAGTCCTTTGAGAAGTACCATTTCACATGATCTCGCTCCCAGTTCCCCCGCCCCAGACCCATTGAACGAATTATCGCAACAGTTGTCGCAACTGCTAGCCATTATGACTATGCAACAGAAGGAACAGAATGCATTACGGGAAGAATTGGCTACTATTAAAGCTGACCGGCAGAACCGCCAAGTGGCAAATTCAATCAAATTTGAGGAAAACAAACCGTGTTTGGAACAAAGACTCACCAGCAACGAACGATTAGGCAGGACTAGGTGTGTGTCACGCCCGTGGGTAGACTGCGGTAGCAAAGTACTGCCTTAGATACTGAGGGGTTTTTGTCTCTGGCTCGTAGAGCTTGATGACTGCCTTAGATACTGAGGAGACTGAGATGTTGGGTTAGAACCAACTGAGTGACTTATCAAACAAGGTTAAGAGAATTGAAAAGATACATTGCTGAAGAAAAGAAACTATGTAAGAAGTATATGGGGTTTATATCGAATTCTGAGTCCATTCTGGGATGTGCGTCGTCCTGAGTAGGAAAGAGACGCGATTCTCGATCTCAAGTGTATATTCAACCATGAATCAGAAAGCTGCATGGTCTTTGCGACGTGATGCGTACAATACGCTGTTGACCGCACGTAGAAGCATGCATGACGACATAAACCATACGTTTGCCTTGAATCTAACTAAACTGAAGTCTTGGGTCTAATGCCATACCAGGCAGACTAACTGAGGATAACTCAACTAACTAAAGGTTCAGGTCTCTTGCCTTGGAGGCATAGGAGCAGAACTAAACATGAAGATACTGATACTTAGACTTTCTGCCTTGTGTGCACAAGAGCAGAGCTGGTGATTCATGACAGTGTGCTGATCCACCAACCTTCAGTGGAGAACGAGGGGAACTGGACGACTTCCTTGCAGCTTGCCACTTGAACTTCAAATTGAAAGGGGCTGAGTACGCCACAGATCGCAGGAAGATTTTGTTTGTGTACGGTTATCTATGGGGTACCCCTCAAATTGTCACGAGACCAACTAACCAGCATTGGGACGATATAACAGTGCCCTTCAGAGGTAGTGGTCTAAACCACTGTGCTAAAAGGCCTATTAACCGGCGGTTACTGCATACCGCCGGTCGCTGGTTAAATACCCAACCCATCCTATCACTATCACTATCAAACTGTCTTGTCACTTCGTGACACAAATGCTCCTAACCCCGGCCATAAACAACCCAAGTATATGGAATTCTGTCACGGCCGTCGAATAACTTCTTCCTAATAGACCGACGGTCGACGAACCTCGGCTAACTTGATGCTTCTGTGTCAATGTCTCACCCAACCAGGAGGGCGCAGACGTCAAAAGGAATGTAACCACGACGTACTTTGACGTAGTTACTCTACCTACAAGGGGTTTTTACTGATGGCGATGCATCTCGATTTGTATTGTCGCTATCTCTATCAATCTTTCACTACTGACAACAATCAAGGATCGCTGAAGAACTTCAGCAGTCTTCTCAGCTAATATTATCTACTCCTCCTAGATGTTCACCCAACCCTCCTGTGCTTAGACGCTCATCAACGCACTTTGGCCAACTTCACCAGACCCCCATTATTTCTTGACCTCTTTGGTTTATAAGGATCCTAGGACATCTGAGACCAACCACGGCAAAGTTAGGAGAAGTTAGGCTGGTCAGGGATGGAGGGAGCAGAAGTACAGCGGAGTTAGGCAAAGTTAGGGTGGTTAGGGATGGAGGAATCAGAAGTACAGCAAAGTTAGGCGAGGTTAGAAAGACGGGTGTTTGGTGATTCAGGAAGTTGGCCAAAGTGTGTTGAAGTGGGAACGGGTTGGATGAACATCTAGGAGGAGTGGATACTATTAGCTGAGAAGATTGCTGAAGTTCTTCAGCAATCCTTGATTGTAGTCAGTAGTGAAAGATAGATAGAGATAGCTACACCTACATCAAGATACATTGCCATCAGTGAAACCCCCAAACATAGCAACTATGGCAAACCTTGTTGAAGTTGCCATCAGATTGAAGTCTGTGCCCTCCTGTTTGGGTGAGACATCAACCCCCAAAGTACGACCTTAGCCGAGGTGTCACAACCCTGCAACCTCAGTTGTGACATCAGGTTATAACCAGATCGCAATCATAGGGCTGATTGCAATATTGTGCCTTTTAGAGCAGTGGCATAGGATGTCACATGCATGGCCAGTGTATGGCCTGGTGCTGGTTAGCCAGGTCGTAACACGAGGTTTGTTGACCGTTGGTCTTTGAGAGAGAGGTTCAACGAGAGGCGTGACATGATCCCATTGTCCCCTAATCCATCTACCTTCTCCTAACTTCACCTAACTTCACCTAAGCTTGCCGTTCTCATGCTCCTGATGCCTGTATACCTCGTTCTCCCATTGTACTTTGCCGTAGTTGGTCTCAGATGTTGTAACGGTACTGGAAACACGATGACTAGGTCGCAGGTTGGGTCGAACTCGATGGAAGTCTCGCGGAAATCTATGTGTCTCTGGTGCTATGTGATGGATCGTGTCTCCTCTGCAATCGATGTAGCCAAAGAATGATATTGAAGAATCAGCAAAGTTGGTACTTTGCTGATTGCACTATATACTATCTACAAGAGTCCGCGTCCTCCTCTCAGTCCTACTGCAAGCGTCTATGTACATACTCGGACAGGTGAAAAACCGCTTTTGAGCAAACCCAGTGGGGAAATCTCGAAAAGGGAAAACCCGTCCCTACCTACTGCAGCACTGCCTCCAATTCCCGCTGTTCTCTTTCCTAATCCGTCGAACTCGATGGAGTTCTCTCGATTCGTTGTTACTCCGTAACAGATGTCCTGAGCTACATATAAACCAAAGAGGTTGAGGTGTGATGGAGGTTCAATGGTCAAAGGATGTCACGCCTGCGGGTAGACTGCGGTTGCAAAGTACTGCCTTGGGTACTGAAGGGTTTTAGTCTCTGGCTCGTAGAGCTTGATGACTGCCTTAGGTACTGAGGGTACTGAGGTGTTGGGTTAGAACCAACTAGGTGACTTTCAAAGATGAAGTTCAACTTCAAGATGAAGATACATTGCTGAAGAAAGAGGGGGGAGAAGTGCTCGTTTTATACCCTTCAAACTGACTAAACTGCTAAACTATTATTTGTAATCCTTGAGTTCTTATTGGCAATCCTGCTATGGGAATTTGCAATGCTGATTCAGCATCCACTACAATTACTACTTCAGGAAGGTGGAGGTATGTGGTGATTTGCAATGCTGATTAAGCATGCACTTCAGTTACTACTTCAGGAAGGTGGAGGCATGTGGAGGCATGTGGAGGCATGTGGAGGTTGTGCCTGAGTGATAACAAAATCCACATCATGCGTCTTTCATGTTCTGACTGTGGCAGTGTGGCAGAGCCACTCTGGATTCATGACAAAGGAGGGTCATTGTTGATGGAGTTTTGCGGTGTCACAACATAGTTTGTGACAAAGATCTAAGACAATAATCAGAAAGCATCAGCATCAATTTGCTGCAGTCAAAGCTTTCACCACTCCCAACTATGTATGTATGAGCTCACACTGTCTAATCCAAGTCTTGTCCTTCTTTCATCTCGCGTCTTAGTGTGAAGGTGAACTGAGAGAATTCAGACAGGTCTTGGCTGTAATAAGCTCCGTCACACCACATACGCCTGATGGTGCCGCCTTCATTGTCGTGTGTCTTCACAAACTGCTCAACTATCCTCAGGGAAAGTCTGTCCATCCACTGCAATTTTGGCTGACCCATGGCGATGGTATGGGGAGTAGAGTCAGCTCTGTCACGGTGGTCTCTGTAGGTAGCCAGGTCCGGTACATCCAGTATGGTCAATTTGTCAACCTGATCAACTGACGGATTTTCCCTCTTGGGGTAGAAAAGGTGTGTTTCTGTCAGAGCAGGAATGTCAGGAAGCACATACCCCTTTATATCCTGTGTGGCATACTTTGCATTCAAGGACTCCATGATTTTATTCAGGTTAAACAACCATGTTTTCACTTCGGCCTCCGTTTTGTAGTCATATGAAGCAAAGGCATCAATGAAAAACTCTTCCACAAACTCTCTCAAACTTTGATCAATCACTTGTGTGGTGGTTTGGTGAGCTTGAGATGGAGTGGTTGTTGGGTTCTGCTCAAAAAGTGAGTCAAAATGTGGCGAGCATGCACTGAGGGTGGGCTCTGGAGCTCCATCTTCAGCTTGGCCATCAGAAGTAACAAACAGTATCACTCGTATTTTCTCAACCTGGCTATTCACGCTGTCCGCTTTACTATCTTGAACCGGCTTTTTCCCACCTCTCGGTACTCGCCGAACCACATATTGTGGTGGATAACATGTTGAATGGGCACTGCGCACTCGTGTGGACCACGGTTCCGAGGTCCCACCTTTGTTCTGTGAGACATCGGAAGGCCCTGCATCTGCATTCACAAGTGTGGTGTCCATAGAGAGATAATGTTAGGTGCTCTGTTCAGACGGTTTGATATAGCTCAAGTGTTCAAGTGAGACCTTGAGAAATTCCAGGGTGGAATGCTGGTAGAAAGTCTTGAATGAGATATGAGATGAACTATGTAAGATACCACAGGATCTTATATAGTCCATATTACGACCCCCGACCAGGACGGATAGAAGAACTGATGAGATTCCATGTCGGCCTCGCACTGGCATCACATCTTTCCTAGGCCCCATCATTGACAATCTCCGGTCTAGACCTTCATCTAAAGTACAAAGGATCATAATCAACCTGTACATCTCAAAGGGGAAATCGATGGTTATCGTGAGCGTGAGGCTGTGCTTGGACCGTAAGAGGTCCGGGCTTCATGATCCGACGAAATCGGACAATCGTCATCGTTCTCCTAGAACGTGGGCCTCGACTATGAGGTCAAGTCTGAAACATTTCACTGCTTTTAGTGTATTTTTTGTAGAGAAGAAATAGTCAAAAGATGATCTCATATCGTACAGCCTTCAAACAGTACTCACGTATGTTGTGAACTGCTGGTAGAAACAAGTCTGTAAGCTCACGACACGATACGTGGGAGATGTCGTCAGTACTGTAGGTTTAGGGATAGTCGGATCCGTGCGTGCTTGACAACCATCACTTTGTTCCCCCATTTGATGGAAATCTTATGGAGCTCATTTCCTCCCATTTGTACCGTAGCTCAAATTCCTCGCATTGTTCCCAATTTCAATGGCTCAACACTGATCTTATGGGCATCTATCTCGATTTACAATCTCATGCTGAAGCTTCTTATTCCTTGCGACTCCTATTGAACATCGATCATCCAAAGACGTGATGGATCATCGACGCTAGAAGCCTCCACTTCATGACGCCTCGTGGTCGACTCCACGTCATCAACCATTATGTTCGCCCCTTTCCCTTTGACTCTTGACTATCATTTGTTTCTACTATACACCACCTTGACTGATGTTTCAGCTCGGTACACCCTCCCTTCAGATCCGCTTATCTCCCCAATGGAACGAGAAAACATGTATGGGCTACGAAGTCTCCCATTCTTTAGGACAGATTTCACGATTCCCCGAGAGGTTATACGGACCCCTTGAGCTTTCTCCATCAGGACAACCTCCCCATATTCCCCTTTCGTCCTCTCGAAGTCCATTCTGTAATTCCACTCCCCCACGATCAACCGCTCGTTCCACCCTCCCAAATGTAGATCCACCCGATACGTTCAGCGCAACAACCTCAAATGGGACAGGGGTCTCACTTTCTCCGTTGAGAACTTCTCACACCTCCTCCGAGATAATGAGCAAAGAAAGCCGCACTTCTCAAGACGTATCCGTCAAAGATTCTAGCACTTCACCAAAAGCAACACATCGAGATTCTCCCATATTACAAGAATTGACCATTGAAGAACTCCGGTCCTTCGGAGCAATATGGGACGTATTCCATGTCTCTACCCCAACTCCTCTTCCTTTTCCCGTCATAGCCAAAGTCATGGTGCCTTCTGCTTTTCCCCAATACCTCGATCCTACGATATACTACGGAAGAAGTAGGACCGTTTTCGATCGACAAACAGCTCGACGACAAGTGGCCAGGGAGATCGAGATTTTGGAATTGTTCAGTGAGGTGATACCTCCTATAGCTCCCCGAATGTTGGGTCTGTTTGGAGGACAGGAGGAAGGTTTGGATGGGAAAGAAGGAGACGAAGTTTGGGTGATGATTATGGAAGATGTTGGAGTGGAGGCTAGACAAACTGGTTTGAACAAGAAAGATAAGTGAGTGTCCATTTCAATCTTCCCCCTCCCTCACCACAATCATCATGTCTATCTATCTGTCGATCTACAACCGTTATCTTTGTTCGATTGTCGTAATCCCCTTTTGCCCCCTTTTTGTGCCCGACTAATGAACTTCGCCCGATTCATTCCTGACCGTCCCTGGCTCGATGTCTATCGCTTTCGAAGTATGAGCCGTGGGAGAAATGCCAGAATCAAGTAACTGATACTAGACTCTCAATTATCGAGCTCTACACCCGTCTTCATACCCTAGGTATCCTCCATGGAGATTCAACCGACCGACATTGGCTCCGACATGACAAACTCGGATCAAAGGGAGTAATCAAATTGATAGATTTCGATCGTGCTATCCTCCGCAACGAGGTGTCCTTGGACGTTTGGGAGAAGAAAAGTAAAAGGGAAATGGCTATGGTGAAGTTTTTATTAGGTATGGGACCTTTTTATGATGATGTCCCTATGCCTAAGTCAAAGAAGAAATGAGGGGGAGGGGGAGAGGGGACATTCGTAAGGTTCATTTTTCCGGCAAAGAATGTGTTGAAAGTGATATGATGAATCGTGTGATGGCGCAATTTGTAGCTGCTAGTCACTTCATGGATCACGGAGAGTGAGATAAAGCTCAAGGTATGAGATATTATCCCCTTGTTCTTCACAACCACTTTCCTCTGTATGTTTGGTTCTAATTAATATATGGCTACATGAACAATGAATCCTCACTTGTTTTCCGTAGTCACGTGGAGCATTACTGCATCATGCATCTGCTAACTACGTACTGGAGTACCAGTACTCGTACAAGCACCCGATCACCGGCATCGGAGCAAAGTGCCACATTGAGCGAAAGTGCCACACCCACATCTTTTAGATAAGTTTCTTCGTTTTCTCTCCCTCTTCTTTCCCCAACCATAATACCTACTCTAGGGCGTGGAGGCGACCACAACATTCACCAAAGACGCAGAGACGACCCTCAGAATCAAGATGGCCTCGAGTAGTGAAGAGCTTTCAAGCTCTTTGGAGAAACATAATTCAACTTTTACCAAATTGTTATCTTTCATACCTCCTCAGTTCTACATCGCTCTCGATCCTGAAGAAGTGAGTCATTCGTTTTCTCTCATTACCTGTATCCTCATCCACCCTCCCCCTCATCTGTCATTTCTCATGGCGTATCTCGGCTGCATTTCATACGTAACGCAACTGTACTCCTCATTGCAATACTGCTATAGGAGATGGATTCCGGGCGTATGAAACGGTGACTTCGATGAACACATGAGCCATAGAAGGGATGGAGGAATTTAGACAAGATAGAGCCTGGAGAGACGGGATAAAGAGAGATTTATAAGATAATGAGAGAAACTTATGATCAGGCAGATTCTAAATGGATGAAGAACAAAAAACGTCGGACTGGAGAAGAAATAAAAGAACATAAAAGACAAGCTAAAATTTCAAAATTAGATCCTTCCAACCCTCAGACTACGGATCATATCTTAGCTTCCAAGGTTCCTGTATCTTCCAACCATGCCTCAAAATCGGAGTCGACCAAAGTCTCCACGTCATCTGATGTCACTGGGGCGGAAACGGGACTGAGAGAAAAAGAAGTTGTTGTTTTTCCCAGTACCGGAGATAAAGATGAGGGATTAGTCAAAGATGGAAAGCAGAAAATCAATCCTTTACCTCCCGCAGCGAGTATTGCCGAGTTGAAGCAGAGGTTGCAGAATAAACTGGAGAGTTTCAGAAAGGATAGAGGGGTGGACGATTCTGATCCTGTTTCGAGGGATGCTTTGGAATCTGCTCGGAGAGCCAAAAGGGAGGAACAGAGGGATAAGAAGAAGAAAGATAGGAAGAAGGAGAGAGAATCGGAGAAACAAAGTAATAGTCGGCCTGCGAAGGTGAGTCCAAGTCAATTTATACAATACTTCCATGCTTTGGAGTGTTATTGGAACTGAAGATTATATTCGGAAATTGGTGATGTAGGCGAGGGACTCAAACTAATCTACAGACCCAACTCATCGTTCCTATCTTACCTAAAGACAACCTCACTTACCCTTCCCTCGCCCTCCCTTCTTCATCCACCAAATCACTCGGTCCTATAAAACCCATCTCTAACCCCGCCCAAGCTCTAGCCCATCTGGAGAAACATAACGCTCACTTGGCTTCACTTCCTGAAGAAAAACGTCGAGCCGCGGAGGAGAAAGAAAAATGGGCAAAGGCTTTACAAAGAGCCGGAGGAGAGAAGGTGCATGATGAAGCGAAAGTATTGAAGAAAGCTGTGAAGAGGGTAGAGAAGGGAAAGCAGAAGAGTGGGAAAGAATGGTGGGTCGTGTGACTTTCTTCGTCACCCACTTCGATTCTCTGTGCTTCTCACCCAGACTTCTGCTTCGTGTCACTTACTCTATCTGTACCGAACAGTCACCTATCGAATCTACACTGACTTTTACCCGAACTCGGTCCTACATTCTGTATGAATGCCCAGGTCGGTAGGCTGACAATCAGGGCGGAAAGGAAGAAATCACTCGATCAAGCTCAAGCCGTCGCTATCAAGAAACGAAACGATAACATCGCTTCGAGAGCCAGTGCGAAACGTGATAAACGATTGGGTGTCAAGTCGAAGGGAACGAAAGGTGGTGGTGGTAAGGGGAAGGGTAAAAGTAGAGGGAGACCTGGGTTTGAGGGTAAGAAGGGGAAGGCGTGATCGGTATAAGTCTGCTAAGAATGTTTCAACGAGTGAGGTTGCTGATACTCTTCTCGATGCATCTTTCGTTTCCTTCTCACAGCTGCTATGAATGTGATAATCGTATCAAACCGCTTCGACCTTGTCCCCTCACAGCCGTCTATCGTAGTTTCCGTTTGCGAGAATACTTGCATGTTCGTTGTGGGGCCCCCTTCCCCACCTTCGGACCCAAATTCCCCGCCTTCCTTCCCCCTTCCCCCTCACTCTCGCTCCTTCTCAGAACCCTTGCACACTCTACCCCCACAAAGCTGTATACTGACAGCAGATGAAACTTGCCGCCCAAACCTTCGATGTCCTGCATCCCGTACATATCCTTACTCCGAGCACTGACTTCGCTTCACAGCCTCACTCCCGAACCCCCAAAAAGGGTGATGACCAACAACCTCGGCCGAAATGATCACATGGGTCAACCAAATGCCCCCTCGGCCATCCGGATTATCAATGACTTCTTTGAGCCTTTCTATTTCTGATATATAAACCCTCATCCTTAACCTATCATCGAGTATTCTTCCTGGCCACTTCACTTTTCTTACTCTGACATCAAGTCCACCTGACCAGTTCATTCTTTCATTCTGAAATCGAATCCCGAGCCAGATCCAACATGACATTGGAATACGATCGAAACACTACCGCCGAAACGGTATGTGAAACGTTTCATCATAATGTCAAAGGGAAACCCATACTTGTGACTGGACCCAGTATCACAGGATTAGGATATGCTGCGGCAGCTATCATTGCTAAATTTCAACCTAAGACCATCATCTTCTTAGGAAGGAATGAACAGAAGTGAGTTATGACATGTTTCTTCTTAAAACCTTAATTACCTCCGAGAGTGATGTTTTTTCCCTTTTCTTTCTGTTTTCCTCGCTCTGATGTGATCTGGTTTTTCTATCACCTACTGCTAGCTTATCCGCTCTGAGGTATTCCTTCCACGTGTTGATATATATGATCATCCCTTCTCGTCACTGTCACTTATGAATCACCTCGATCTGTACGGTTGGTCGATGAAAACGATAAAGGGAGAAAAATGTATGAATATGCTGATTCTATTATCAGGTTGATAGAAGCCAAAGAAAGTTTGTTCAAGATTAATCCTGAATTAGAATGCAAGACTATCGAATGCGATTTGACATCTTTGATTGATGTTAAAAAAGCAGCAAAGGAGGTGTTGGAATTAGGTTTGAATGTCGATGTTTTCATCGCCAATGCGGGTGTGGTGAGCTTTCTCTTCTAACTTACCTTGAATTCTACTTTCAACATCTTCTTCACATTCGAGCACGTCATCCACCACATACCTATCATATTCTAATCCGGAAAGAGAACTTCTGACTTCTTCAATCCATTATCCGGCTGAATCTGTTGAGCAAACACCACTAGAAGAAAAGTGAATATGTCACGTAGTGGAAGAGAATGTTCATCATATAGAAAGAGGGAATGGAAATAGAACACCAAGAAAAATAGAGTGATCAAAAGTAACTAATCGAAAGATGAATTCACCTTACACAATCACTCAAGACGGTTTCGAAGTTCAACTTCAAACCAATTACTTGTCCCAATTTGTACTCATCACTCAACTCTTGCCTTTGATCCTCAAGAGTGAATTGAAAAGGGTGATCATGTTGAATAGCGCTGGGGTAATTTGGGCCGGGGTACAATGGGAAGATCCTAATTATAAGAAAAACGAATATGATGGACATGCAGCCTAGTAAGTTTTCATCGAAAAAAATCTTCGTCTTCTTCTCTTTATTCATCTCAACGATTTCTCGATCATTCGGGTCTCCTCTTATTCTTACATTTCGGTATTTTTCAACTTTGCTTGCTTTGCTTCCTTCTCTCTTTCGTAGAGATTATCTCTCTCTGGACTTTTTCGTCATGACGAAAGAGAAGGAAAAGACAACACCAGTTTTTCAAAAAAAAAATTAGGAACATAAAAGTTTACCTTATAAGTGCTCAGAGTAAAACCGCCATGACTTTATTCGCTCGTTATCTTGCCAAACATTACGGTGATAAAGGATTATCAGCCTATTCAGTATGTGTGAGTCAAAGATTTTCTTTTCGTCCGATTCTCATCTTTATACAATATCACTATGAAATCCATCTGTTCATCCTTCGAGTCATACCATCTTCCACAACATTAGGAGAATCTGAAAATCCCTTCCATCACCAACACCCATCATCGTTCCACATAAGAGATATAGTGACATTGTTTGTCGTATAATCATACGTGATAAAAATGATAAAAATCGATTTTCACTATACTCTACTTGCACTTCGGTGCATCGAAAGTGTGATAAAATCTTCGAATTGGGATAGAGAAGTACTTATAAACACACAGCCAGGAGCCATTCCAACTGAAGTAGGTCGATATTACAGCGCGGAGATGAAAGTCCAGTTCAGTAAAACGATTGGACAAGGTTGTTTCTTCGATGATGGAAGTATCAATTATGATTCTGCTTGGTGGTCAACTCCCTCACAGGGAGTAGCAGTGTGGGTTTATTTCTTGTGATCTCTTCCCCCGATTTTTCCTTTCTCCTCCCCGCTACCTTCTTCGGGACAGACTTCGTCTCTTGACTCTCTCTCCCTTCTACACATATTCTCTTACGTCATGTAACTTTAACTTTGTCCTCTGTTGAAGACGGTCTCTGTTCTTGAGATAATTGTTTTCTTCTTGGGTGAGATGTCACATACAATCCAAGTCATCCTGTGTCATACCATATACCAAGTGTGTTGTGTGAATGTGTGTGAAGAATGAAACAGCTCGCTCATCATCAGTGTCTGTCGTGCAGCTTTCGAAGATGATCTTCAACCAAATGGAGCATTTTTGAAAGATTGCATCGTCGATGAAGAAGGATGTCCGGTACATTGTAAAGATCCCGTGAGTATCACTTTTCATTGTAACGAGTCGATAACTGATGTGGAAAGGAATTGGTTGAGAAAGTATGGGGTTGGACAAATGAGCTTTTAGGGGAATCATTGTCCGAGTGATTGTCAAAAAACTTCCAAGATACTCTATTCCCATCGACTCAAAAGGATGGAATGAATCTGATGCTATGAGAGACAGATTCGTAGAACAAATGGATATGCATGTGAATTTTAACGGACTGTTTTTCCATCTTTATACCCTCTTGAAAGAAACTTGATACCTTCTCGAACGAAACGTGATCCCCTCTCGAATACACATTTCAAAAACCATAGAGGTCATACCATGATCAAAAGTACCTCATATGACAACGGGAAACAAAAAAGAGAACACCAATCAACTAAATTCATGGAAGGATAACCTATCTTACGATTAAGATCGATAAACCATCATATAATCCTTCTTTTTGAATAACCCCCAAACTCATATCCAATAAACATTCCCTTACCCTACCTCACATAACCTTTCTCAACAGCAATCTCAGCGTTCATAACACTACTAGTAGCCGCTCCTAATCTGACATTATCAACCAAACATATAAATTTAAAATCTAATACCCCACATTCCCTAATTCTTCCAACACTGACACAAGCACCATTCTCTAAATCTCTATCTAATCTAGGTTGTGGTCTATCTTGAGATTCATGTAATATTATCGGAGATTTCGGTGCACTGGGTACGTTTAGTTCTTGTGCTTCAGAAGTATAATTCTTGAAAGCATTTTCAATTTCTTTTAAAGTAGGTTTTGCTTCTTTTGAAAATTCAACACTGACACATGATAAATGTCCATCTAAAACTGGTACTCTATTACATTGTGCAGAGATTTTCAATTTATTTTCTTGATGATGATCGAATTCCAATTTAGTTTCATTCTTCCCATTCTTCCCAATTTGGTTTTGATTTTGATGTTCGATTTCTTTTATTCCACCTAAAATTTTCAAAGTTTCCCATTCTATTTTCTCCTCTTCACCTCCTATAAAAGGAACGACATTATCCATAATGTCCATACTACTAACACCAGGATAACCAGCACCTGAAATAGCTTGAAGAGTCGTTATCATTACTGTTTTCAAAGGACCGAATGATTTTTCTAAAGCGGCTAATGGGACGACAACACCTGTTGTTGAACAATTGGCATTACAAAGTATGAAACCTTTTTTTAGACCGAGTAGGGATTGTTGTTGTGGTATTATTGATAGATGGGAAGAATTGACCAGAGGGACTATTAGAGGAACTAATGGATCTCGTCGATGATTTTTAGCGTTGGAGAAAATGGGTATTTCGGAGGAACGGAATGATTCTTCTGGTAGGAGTCAGTCTTGAATTTGTTTTTTTTTTAACAACATCTCGATTTTAAAAACGATTTTAACTTTCGTGACTGATACTAGGGGAGATGGATAATGTCGATTTAAGAAGAGTGTGAAGTGGAGTGGAAAGTGGGATCGCTATGTATGATAGAGGGGGAAAGTGGCATTGCAATGACTAGGGACAGTAGGATAGCTTTCCACTAGGAAATGGGAGATTCACTACGGATTACGGATCTATCAATTTGAGACAGGAAGAGAGTACCGACAGACATTAAGATGCGAGGAGGGAGACAGAGAAGAGGAGGGGGGAGGGAACGTGTGTGTCGATCTAGGGAATGAGAGAAAGAACACCACACTGACCTATCTCCCCAGCCACATCATGATCCAAACCTGAAAACACAACACCACACTCATCAAACCCACCTACATCAGGTCGACATTCATGAACCATCATATCTCTGACGATCTCCGGCATGGGAGAAGATAATTTCCATCGAGTGACGGAAGAATAAGTTTGACCGGCGGAACGTGCTGAAGCGCCTAAAGAATGGAGGACGAAGTATGGGTGGGTGGAGAGGAGTTGGATGAATCTAAAAATCAGTTTTGTTTCTTCACTTACACCACTATCGTCCCAATACCTACCCCAGCTACTCATATATTGCCATTGAGACCTAGTCACATATTACAATCTGATGATAGGCACGAGGATTGAGGGAGCGTTCGTAAGGGTGACCTGTCAATGTGCGAGTATGACGTTTTGATATTTGTGAGGAGGAAGGAAGAGGACTGACCGTTGTCCCACCGTCCCAGTCGCACCCAAAACACCCACTTTGATCTTTTCACTCGGTGGCATTTTCTCTTGGATTCTACGTTGCAGTCGGTTTCCTTCTCTTATCCCAGATTTCGTACTTACCCCCGTGGCCAGTGAGGTATGTAAAGTCTGGAATGGTAGAGTTGGTATTACAACTATTTGACCTGTCGACTTTTTTTCGAGTATGGTGAAATCACGTGACTGACAATTTACTTCCGTCCCTTCTCCGGGTTTGTGGAAACTTGAGATGGTAAAAGTCGGTGAAACCTAATCTCCACTCTTGTTGACGAGTTTCGACCATAATGCCTTCTATTCAACTAGTAGCTGACTTACCTGGTCATACTTCACCCGCATGGTGTATAACTTTCAACCCAACTAGACCCCTTTTCGCAACATGTTCAACAGATAAAACTATCCGAATGTATTCATATTCTCTCCCTGCCCCTTCCTCCACTTCCACCTCCTCTCACTCTCAACCCCACTTACCTCCAATAACCAAACTCTCTTCACAGACTAGTATATCCGAATCAGAATCACAATCACAAATATCATATCATTTACCAAACTTGGAATCCCCAAAACCTCAAATAAACCTCGTATCGGAAATCTCATCGGGACATAGTCGTACTGTCCGTTGGATATCTTGGGCACCATCAGGAAACACTTTCGCCAGTGCTTCTTTCGATTCAACCGTCAAGATATGGGAAGAGATAGGAGATGATGATGATGATGATGTAGAAGAAGAGGAGTTTTCTGGTGTTTATCGAAACAAATTGAATGATGATGTGGATGTGGATATGGAAGATTTGGATGGCCAGGGAGATGAGGAAGATGTTGGGGAAATGGGAGAAGAGGAAGAAAAAGATAAAAAAGAATGGAAAGAATGGGAATGTGTAACTACTCTTGAAGGACATGAAAGTGAATGTAAGAATGTAGGTTTTAGTCATGATGGTGGTTTGTTAGCTAGTTGTAGTAGAGATAAAAGTGTTTGGGTCTGGGAAGGTGAGTAAAGTTATGTTCTTCACATCATTCATCTTCCCAGCAATCTATCATTTCTGAATGGTTCTGTAATTTTTAGAGGCTCAAATCGGGTTTTCATGTCGTAACAGAATATTCTTTTCTCCTCGAAGTGGTACGCTGCTTGACTTCATTCCCCGAGCAAGGCAGGAAGCTGAGAGTTTCACCAGTCTCATGGCTGGCGAGTCAGATCCGTTATGAGCGGGTGTCTTGAACCGACGAGAAAAACTACCACCGCTGACATACAGTCCAGCCGGATGACGATTTTGAATGTATAGCAGTGATGATGGAACATAATCAAGATGTCAAATGTTTAGCTTGGCATCCTAAAGAAGAGGTGAGTTATTCTATCGAGCAGGATAATCTCCCTTTGCTTCAATCTATCACCATCATCTGGCCAAAATTGAAATATCCACGTATTCAATTATCCCATCAATCTATCTATTATCATCTTACCTCCTTTTCTAGATCCATATGAGACTGGATGTCGACTTGACGTCTCATCCTATCCTCTCTCACACAACTTGGAGATTAACTTGCAGATCTCGCTTCTGCTTCATACGACTCCACCATCCATCTAATGTTTGATGATCCTGATGGTGATTGGTGTCCATTTCAAAAACTTTATCCTAAACTCTCCGCCGCTCCCCTTTTCCTATCCCTGCCTACCCCTGCGAACCTACCAAATACATCCGCCAATTACTTGAACACATCATCACCCCCCTCTCAAGATCTCAACACTACTACTTCGGAATCCGACAAAACGTCTACACCCTCTGGACAGTCTTCAATAAATGGTCAAACGCAACTTGACCATTCCCCATTATCCGCTTTATACCCGACGGAAGAAGAAAAAGCAGCAGCAGCTTTACATATACCCCCTTTGTTAGAAGATGAAACTGTTTGGTGTTTATCTTGGAGTCCTTGTGGTAAGTATCTTGCCAGTGGGGGAGATAGAGGAGGTATAAGGATATGGACTAGAAAGTGGGTCAAAAAGTCCTTAACATCCAATCATCCTTTACCCTCTCAATCGTATTTAATCTTCATACATACAATCAGGACAAAAGTTCCGACTTCCATAAAACACATACAAAACTTGTCTCCCTCTTGAAACACATACAACATCATCACTGTTCCTTCTTTCAACTCGCAATACACATTACTTCCTTCAGTTGCCATGTGTGTGTGTGAGAATCGATTCTTTTAATGGAGATTATCCAAAGTGACATGTGAGATCCTACTTACTGATTACAGCGGCTCAAACCCCGATTCTCAACTTATCGAAACCCTTCACACATCAGCCCATTCATCTCCATGTTTCTCTCTTTCCTGGGGGATGGCATCAAAAGATGATTCAAATAACTTGGGATTATTGATTTCCGCCGGTGGAGATGGTAGGATCATCATACGGCAAATAACAAAATCGACAAGATCCTCTCAAAACATTTCTTCCGTTGACCAAGATACTAGTAGACAATCGGGAATCTCAATGAATCCTATCTGTGCAATCAAGGATGCTCATGGGGTTAGCGACGTTAATTGTGTAGCTTGGTGTGATAGGCAAGATGGTCGTGGGAAAGGTATGTTTGGTAGTGTTGGTGATGATGGTGGTGTTAAGATTTGGAGGGTTGTTAGATGATATGGTGTCAAGATTTGGAGGGTTGTTAGATGATATAAGAGAAAGTCAATAGGTAAAAAAAGATGAAACCTCAATGATCGTGTCCGGATTTGTGGTTGACGAAATAACTGATACCTTTCTTCAAAACTTATAATCTCATTTCGTATTATCGAATGGATGGTCTTCAACCATATCGATACATGAGACCTGCGACTCTCAACTTGCGACTTGCAATTTGTAACATCATATCTGGAGTCTAATCAATTAGCAAAAGCATCAACACGGTTCCTTCTCATTCTTAGTTGACAAGCATAGACTAAAATATATGCATCATCACCTATCATACACCGAAATCTATCAAATGACCAATCGTCCAATCGTCCAATCGTCCAATCGTCCAACTGTCCAAATGTCCAACTGTCCAACTGTCCAATCATCCGTATTGTCCAAATAAAAACCCTTGATCATATAACCCCCCACCTACCTCACTCACTCCTCTAATCCACTAGCCCAATGAAGAGACAAGGAATTCCTTTGAAAACTGACAATCCCAAAAAGAAATGAAACCACACAAAAAAACCCTTCAACTAGTATTAATCTCAACCATAGCTTTCTGTATAGCCAACAAACCCTCTGGTATCTCTTGATCTCTCAATCTACCATTCTCATCCCTCCAAGCTTCTCTCACATCTAAAGTTATCGTACCTTGACCATCTTCGAATCCATTAGGTGTACCTTTTAATCCATCTGGTCCTTGAAGTTCCCAAGCGAAACATGGACCTGTCCATCTTGCAGGACAACGTATAAGAGTTGGTTCATCTGATTTATCTAATATTGGACGAGAAAAATGAGAGAAAACTTTATCTAGTTGGAAATTTGATGAATGTTTCGTTAAGATCATATGTGCGAATGCTGGTTTTGGATGGTATGATGGGTTTTTAGATTGAGATAATGGTGTGAGACCGTAGTGCATCACTGGGATTAGAACT